CAGGGGTGCAATCAATAGAAGTGTGTGATTTTCTCAAACAGTACCCAGATCAGGTGTGGAAATGGAGAATGCAGATCTGGAAGATACCAAGACCACAAAGCCTCTGCTGTGGACAGTGTGAAGAACATGTAGGCTCCACTTGTGAGGGCTGCATTAGTGCAGAGGCCTGGAGAAAGCCCTGCCTTTAGCAACAAAAGGAGGTGTGGGAGTTATATAAAGAGGCTAATAGGGGCTTCCCTGGTGGCGCAGTGGCTAAGAATCTGCCTGCCGATGCAGGGGACACAGGTTCAAGCCCTGGTCCGGGAAGATCCCACGTGCCGCGGAGCAACTAAGCCCGTGTGCCACAACTACTGAGCCTACGCTCTATGGCCCACAAGCCACAACTACTGAGCCCACGTGCCACAACTACTGGTCTGTGTGCCTAGAGCCCGTGCTCTGCAACGAGAAGCCACCGCAATGAAAAGCCCACCTGTCACCATGAAGAGTGGTCCCCACTCACCACAACTAGAGAAAGCCTGCAAACAGCTAATGAAGACCCAACGTAGCCAAAAATAAATAAATTAAAAAAAAAAAAGAGGCTAATAGAGATGACTCACTTAATATGAAGTTTCGTAACCATGAAAAGGCAGTGTCAGTACATGTGATACTACCAAGGTAATGTACCTGTGTGTGACCTTTGGCAGTAACAAACTGAGCCTATTTACTTAGCTATAAAATAGGGACAATTCTTGTTCCACATACCTTATGAGTTAGTGAGGATGAAATGAAATGTGAATATACATTATAACTATAAAGCAATTTAGTGATGGGACTAGAATTTGGGTAAAATGCCATGCTGATTTGGATTACTAACAGACAGTTACAGCTGTATGTGTATAAAGGTTTTAGGATGCCTATGTATTTTATTCCATGAGTATGTGAAATTAATTTAAATGAGGGAGGTAAAAAAAATAAGAGCAGTCTAGGGTGTCAAATGCCCTAGAGTCATCAGAGCCATTTGAGAATAGAAAAGAAAGCTAGACACGACAATTAGGTAACTGCTAACCTAATTTTCCACTATGTGACTTTCAAGGAATTTGATGAGGATATAAAATAAATTATTTCAGTGCTTACCGGTTAAGAGCTTTCAGATGCCACTCAGTGAACGCTCAACAGCAATCTTATGAGGTACAGGTTATTCCTATTCTCCAGATGGCAGAAAAAAAGTAACTGCAAAGCTCTAAACCAGGGGCCGAGAACTTCTTTCTGTGAGCACCAGTCACTATTTTAGGCTTTGTGGGCCATAGTCTGTTGCAGCTACTCAATTCTGATGTTGTAGCACAAAAGCAGCCCTAGATAAGACATAAATGAATAAATGTGGCCATGTTCCAATAAAGTTTTATTTATAAAAACTTTGGGACAATGGGCTGCTTACTAACCCCTACTCTAAACATGTATTTTCCAATCCCAAACCCAGCATTCTTTGTTACACCACAAATAAAATTAGTCCAATGGTCGTTTTTCAAAGGACACTTCCAGCTATAGACACATATTTAATGGCACCAATGGGAACACAGGCACATTTCTAATGAATAAAGAAAGAGCAAAAAGGAAGCAGCCGGGCTTCCCTGGTAGGACAGTGGCTGAGAGTCCGCCTGCCGATGCAGGGGACACGGGTTCGTGCCCTGGTCTGGGAAGATCCCACATGCCACAGAGCGGCTGGGCCCGTGAGCCATGGCCGCTGAGCCTGCGTGTCCGGAGCCTGTGCTCCGCAACAGGAGA